TTTTTACTAAGTTTTTATAGTTCTCTGTAAAAAAAAGTCGATTTTTTTTTGAAAACTCCATTTATTTGTAACTTTTGGGTTAAGTACATAATATTGTGCGTTGTTTTTCATTCAAAATACACCAAATTTATCCATAAAATTACACGTACCAGCAATCCACACAACAAATACATTTTAATGGTTTCGATCAGTTTTCGAAAAAGCTTCGATCGAGTTCCACAACTCTTAGCGGAGACCTACACCTTTTAAGCTATTACTGAAACCTAAATTGATCTAAGTTATTTATATTATTTTATTTTTTAACCACTTATAATTGATTAATGTAAGAAAAAATGTTTATAAATATAGTTTGGGAACTTATAATTGTTTGAATTAAATAGTTTCCAAGAAAATACGTCTAATATGGTATCAAATATTTTTTCTATTTAAGTTCGTTTTTGTTATTTCAACCACTATTTGGACTGGATTGAAAAAACGAATGGCTGGCTTTTGTCCTATTTTGTCTATTGTAAAACTGTCTTTATTAAAGGTCAAATCGTTGTTCAGACTTTCTGTAAATCTTTATAGTTTTCTGTATTTCACCACATGTATTTTGTTTGCTTCAGTTCGGATTTCTTGGAGCTTTTTTCTTTATATTTCATAAGATTTTGAAAATGCTTTATAAAACCCTACAAAATACACTGTTTGTATAAACTAGTCAATGTAAATCTGTGCGTATCCATTTCAGTTACAGTTTTGTGGTGGAAGTTCAAAATTGATCCTTAATCGCTAATGCGAGTTTCAAAAGTTCGTTGGTTCCATTAAGGTTTGGGACCTAAATTGTATACATCTCACAAATTGGTCTTCAGTTACGGGCTAGTACTGGCCTTTATTGCAGTTTTAATAAAATTTAAACGAAATACCTAGGGTTTTTTAACTGAGCATAGATGACGGGTCTTCAGCTGCAGCTTCCTTGATGGATTTCCTTCATATTTAAACAGTTTTCATATGCGTTATTGTGGTGGGTCGATTTGTTTTCTAATAAGTTTTAGAAACTTAAGAAAGGTCTTCCAAATATAACAATGAAATTAGTTGCTTTCATACGTCTCTTAGAAGAGTCAATAATTCAGTTAAGTAAGTTTGAAGACAACCAATTAAAAAGTTTTCGGAAGTAACTATTCTTGTTTTTACAAATTGAACTAAAATTTAAACGCAAGGATTTTGAATAAATTTGTGAGCTAATTCTAAAATGAGATTGTTTTGCATCGTTATCTGATAGCGTTTCGCCCCCTTACTTTATTAGCAAACAAATCGACCCACCCGCTATGCTTGCAAATGGAATGTGAAATAATTAAAAGGCGTCGTTGAGCTCGACAATCGACAACCGCAGCTCGGCGATGAGCGGTAGCTAGTGGGACCTGGCCACCATGTCCAGTCCGCCCTCCTCCTCCATTTTGCTGAGGAACTTGATTACCCGTTGATGCGGTTCCGACTGCCGGATCATGTCGATGAGGGCCAGCAGCTTCTTGATGCCGATGCACACCCGCTTGCCGGCCATGTTTCGGGCGATGTTCTGCAGCTCCTCGGGACTGAAAAAATCCGAGTCGTCCAGCACGGCGAGCACGTGCTCGGGAGTGGAGAGATTTGACACATGCAGCACGGACGTGAAGGCCGGCAGCATCTCCATCTCCTCGAGGACGTCTCGCCGGCTGGAGGTGCACAGGATAAGCAGCTTGCGCCCCTTGGGCGGCTGCTTCTTCAGCAGCACAAGGAGCGCCTGCAGCGTCAGATTGGAGTACCTGGGTCCGATCGGACCGTAGTCCAGCAGCCTCTCCACGTTGTCCACCACAATGCAGCTCAACGTGGAGCGGTAGGCGTCGTCGAAGATCTTGCGGATGTGCAGGCACTTGGCGGACTCCGTGAAGCCCACCATGTCCTCCGGGGAGCAGACCTTGACGAACGGGAAATCGCTCATCTTGGCCAGATTGGCGGCCAGCGCCGACTTGCCCGAGTTGGGTGCTCCCTCGATGAGCACGGACACCAGGCCGGAGCTCTCGGTGGCCTTCGCCTGCTGCACGGACAGCATGCCGTCCTCCAGGATCCCGGTCACCGGTGGTCCCCAGTTGATGATTCCCCGCGCCAACAGGTTCTCCAACATTTCCTGGGACGCTCCAAAGGCAGGTTTGATATCGTTTTCCAAAGCGTGCAGGAAATCGGCGCGGGTAACTCGCAGTTTTTCCATAGCCTCAGGATCCACGTGAACCTAGGTTTGCAAAAGGTAATTAATATATTTTACATAGTTTCTTTCTTTCAAATAATAGAGTTTGTAACGGACGCCGTTTGCTCTAAGCAAAAATCAGAAAGCGATAGTTCTTATGTTACCGAAAAACAACCACTTTTTTCACCGAGATCTTAGCCGCATTCGAAACGTTTAAACGAGAACACGAGAACCGAAACCTTAAACGAAGACAAAACTTAAATAAATAAATACTTCAAGTAGATAACGCGTTCTTGTAACCGATAGAATATTACGTTCTATGTGGGCGGAACTTTTTATAACCGAAAACATTATCACACAATGGCTTTATTAAATCAGAAACCCTACCTTGGAATCGGCTTTGATCAATCGGTTCATGGCCGTGGACTGGGCGGCTCTAACCAAACCCTCCAGTTCTGCGCCACTGAAGTTCTTTGTCCTGGCCGCGATCTCGTTGTTGTCCACATCGCTGGCTATCTTGTTGTAGTCCCGCATCCGTTTGGTGTGGATGTTGAGGATCTGGACGCGTCCCTGTTCGTTAGGCAAACTGATCTCCATTTGGACTTCCAGGCGGCCAGGACGCAGTAGTGCCTCGTCGATCATGTCCCTCCTGTTGGTCATTCCTATCACCAGAATGTTGTTCAGCTGTTCCACGCCATCGATCTTGGCCAGCAGCTGATTAACGACCGTGTCATGGACTCCACTGTTTCCGGCCACCGAGCCACGAGCCTTGCAAATGGCATCGATCTCATCGAAGATGATGATGTGCAGCCCGCTGTTCGGTCCCAAGCGCTTCTCCTCCTCCTCAGCTTCGGCGAACAGTCGCCGAATATTGGCCTCCGATTCACCCACATACTTGTCCAGGATCTGCGGACCATTCACGATCTTGGGTTCGCGGGCATTCAGCATGGTTCCGATTTGCCGGGCCATCAGGGTTTTGCCCGTGCCAGGTGGTCCGTACAGCAGGATACCTTTCACGTGCTTGATGCCCAGCTGTTCCACCAACTCCGGGGGAAAAACGCGGGAGGCGAAGGCGCGTCGGAATATCGCATTGAACTCCTTGTCCAGGCCACCGATGCCCATCTTGCCAAAGTCCCAGTCCGGATTAATGATCGACTGGCGCACTATCTTGCCCTTGGAGCGGCCCTGCAAGTTCAGCACGGAGTTCTCGGCCTTTTCGAACTGCACTACAGTGTTGCCGAGGATGCGACCGAAGCGCACGTTCCGGGTTTTCGGCAGCGCATCTCCCACCGTTCGAGGATCCACTGCCTCCAGGGTTTTCACTGCCAGACCCAGGAACTTCTTGTCTTTAAACTGCAACCGGAAAATAGTTAGTAAGTAGGCAAAGCTTCAAGTTTATTAAAAATGTATTTCAACTGATTTAAAATATTATTTTCAACAATATATTTTTAAAGAAATTTGTCTTAACAGACTTCTTGGCAAAAATCCCATTTTATACTATAATAACCTTGCAAATCTCAGGTAAAAGTTACAAAGTTGCATCAAGTTGTGTTTATATAATATAATTTCCATGAATCAGCAACCTCTGGTGATAAAGACAAGTCATCACTACCTTAACTAGCTTTATATTTTTGTTATTCATACAATTTACACTAAATATGAAAAAATAACGTTTGAAAGCAAATCAAGACGAGTTTCCTTATTTTGCGCTATTATAAAACGACATGGCAAAAAAATAAGGTTCTGCCTATTCAGGATTTCCCTTTTATTTTTTATAACCGAGGATGCTGCTATCTTGTGCTTGCTTGCTGTGATGTTCTTATATCCAAAATATATGGTGACATCATCGAATCCATTGTTATAACAAAAACGTAATGACGATGTTATATGCCCCTGCTCAGTCTTCCTATACTTTCCGTTGTTTTAATATTGGAGGAACGTACCTGGAAGACCAGCGTTTGTCCGACGGTCAATGGCATTCCGGCGAACTGCATGAGGAACTCCTTAGCCATCTCGTCCGAGTCGTAGGGCTCTTGTGTAGTGGTCTTCTTCTGCAGGAAGTCCGTCTCGAAGGACACGAGGGTAATGAGATCGGCACTGGCATCAAATCGGTAGGGTCGAACGTCTATTTCCTGGTTGATTGAGAGCGTGGCCCACTTTCGCTGGACGAGCGAGAATCCGACGTGGCCGAGCGGCAGTTCCGCCCCGCTGACCTTTTCTAGCGCAAAGATGTAGTGCAGCCCCGGTCCCGGCGATATGTCCACATATCTGAGGGTAGAATTGAAGGGGTAAGTCAAGTGACGCCCACGTAGTCGGTAGAAGGAAAACAACACTCACTTGACCTCATCCGTAAAGTCGGCCGCGTTCACGATGGCCTTGTTCTTCAGCGACAGTTCGTCCGTGGGACACTTGATCGCCCTCATCCGATGTGCCATTTCACTTGTCATTTCCCAGTATTTACAAAATTTTCCAGCTCAATTTTACAATATTTTTTCCAGTTGGCAGACCGCAGCTCGACTGTGCCGAAAATACCATTCAAAAAATACTAAAAATAAACACACTAAATATACCGCATATACATACATATTCATATACGCGTAACCTGCGCAAAAGCTACCTGCTATGGCACTGAAAAAATTGCGCGAAAATTTAAAGTTGTTTTAAGTGCGGAACTGGACGAGCAAGAAACCGACGTGGCTGAGCGGCAGCTCCTCAGTGCGAAGTGCACAAGATGGTGAACCGACATTGGCTTGCTATTCAGATATACTTTTTTTAATTAAACTTCGGTAAATAAAAAAAAATATTTCATGATTTAAATCATTTATTGTCTTTTATAAAAACATAGTGGTTTAGTAAAAATGTCTTACATTATGGGTTATGCCAATCACAGTTTGTGGCTGTTTGTCTAAGGACGTTGCTATAAAAGCATTACGAATAAAAATATCTTTAAAAATGAAATGCATCTTTAAAAACTAAAAAAGTGGAAAAAGCTGTCATCTGCGTTTAAGGTTACTCTTAAAGTAACATCGGAATACAATATGTGCCTTCAAAATCAAGGATACAAAATTGCAGCTGTGATAGTGAAGGTTGTTGCACAATAAATCTTAAAGGCTAATGAGGTACTCAGAAAGCTGACTGCTGAATCAAAGTCAGGACTCTGTCCACCCCATTATTTCCCCCATTTTCTCCAAGAACTTGACAGGCCGGCGGTCAGGCTTTAGAGGATTAACCCAGGTGATGAGGTCCAGCAGTCGTTTGATACCTATGGAGATGTGCCGGCCCTCCATCGCGCCTCCAATTGACTGCAGCTCCTCAGGCTCGAATCGACTTAAGGCCTTCATTACGGCCATTATGTCATCCGGCGTGGAGAGATTGGGCACATGGTATTCGCCAGTGAAGACGGTGAGCAGCCCCAGCTCCTGCAGGATGTCGCGGCGATTGGTGGTGCACAAGATGAGCAGCGCGTGACCCCTGGGCGGTTGTTTCTTAAGAATAACCATCAGCATCTGAAGAATTTCATTGGAATATCGCATTCCTAATGCACCATAGTCCAGGATCCGCTCCAAACCATCGAGGATAACGGCGCTACGCTGTGATATATAGGCATCCTCTAGAACATTCAGTATGTGCCGACATTTTTCGGAGTCACTAAGTTCATATAAATCAGACACGGAGATGTGTTTGATAAACGGAAAACCACTTTTCAGAGCCAGTTGAGCGGCAACGGTGGAAACACCAGACTTGGGATCACCCTCGATCAACTGGCAAGACAATCCATCACCTGGCACATAGAGTAAGTTATCGAGGTCCGAATTCTGGTTATACTTAATAAAGCCATTTGGCATCAACTCTTCGAGCTCCTCATGTTGCACGCCAAACCTGGGCTTAATAGTCTTCAGGGCAGCCAGGAAATCCACGTGACCGACCTGCAGACCTTCCTCTAATTCGGGTTTGGGCACCCGGATTAGGGCCTGAGCGCCAGCTGAACTAACCAAACGACATAACTCGTCCTCTGTAAAATTTCTGGTGCGGGCCGCAATTTCCAGTGGGCATACATCATCGGCAATCTTGTAGTAATTTGCCAGGTTTTTAATGCGGTCTCCCAGTAACTCCAATCGCTCCTCCAGGTTAGGAAGGGTCATGTTCACCATCTTTGCAAACAGAGTTAAGTTACTGGGCGTTTAAATAAAGGATTTCGAATTTCGTGAAAATCAAGTCACTAAACTAAAAAAACTGGAATTTAAAAAATTCTTCTTCGTTCCACGAAACAGCTGTTTTAACAGAAGTGCGTTTTTAACAGTGAGAAATCGAATTTCATCAGCACGATCGATTATTTATTTTAAAAATATCGATTGGCAGTTAGTCAAATTAACATAAATCGAATAAATAGGATATAAATTTAAATAATTTATGATTTTGTATAATATTTGATTATTTGTTATAATTAAAGTAAAAAACATACTTTATTTAGTTATATAGTTTATTTTATCAATAACATATATAATTAGTTAACGAACAATGTAAACATTTAAATTTGAGTGATGTTCCTCCTAAAAATGTTACCGTTCTCTCAACTTCTGCCAATACCTAACTTTAAATACTAACTTTTATTTTTGACATGAAAAAATACTACAGTATAATCGAAAGCTTTGCAGACCGTTACAATTTAAACTGAAGTTTGATTTACGTTTGGTTTAGTTCTGATTGTTAAAACCTTTGCACAAACGCCACAGGTTCCTCCCCGCTTTTCAGTTCTTCTGCACGGATGACTGCAATTATTTTCGATACTGCATTTTTCTTCGTTTCTTTGCCGTTGACCTCGCGCAGTTAATCACTCGCATCGATAATTGGATAGTGGATGTCTCTATTCGTTCTGAGATCCGCTTAAATTTATAGCGTGCATTATATTCGGACAGTTTAATTGGGTATCGACATTTATTAATTTGCCCGGCCTGCTTTATTATAATGCCAGTAATTTGTTGGCCCATCTGAATTTGACCATTCAAGGCTTTCAACACTCTTCGCTCGCTAAGTGTTCCCCTTATTTTTTTTGGCCATTTGCATGCTTGAAACGAAGAAGGTTTTAAGCCGGGCATCGAGCGTCAGCTATGCACATTAATTAGGCCGGTTCATTAGACACATGTCCATCAAAAGTGGCACAGGTCCAGATCAAGGGCTCCTGCACCAAGACGAAAGACCCAGGTCCAGACTTGACGACTGCGCCGCCGGCGAGGGAATATATACCACGAATCGAGCCTGGCTGCCTCTCGTGTTGCCTGTTTTATGTAATTAAGCCAGGCGCTCACTATTTAAATTGCTGCCGGATGGCGAGGGGATGCCAACCAGCGACACTGCAACGGAGATTCTAAAAACAAGACATTTAAAATAATTTAAACTATACAAATATAATGTGTTTCATCTCTATACAAGCGGAAATTGAGATTACCCTAAATTTAAAATTAATGATGTTGTTAGTTGCTTACTTGATTCTGCATTTTTTTAATTAAGAAGAAATAGTTATTTACCTTTTTTTCTTGTTATTGTTACACGATTTCCTAAATTCAAATTTAATAAGACACCTGAAATCTTTTCGAGTGTACCCACATGCGCCTGGGTGTATCACGAATTGGCAATTGAGGGCCAGCTGAATCGGCTGGGAGTCAGGGCCTTGGCCAAGTGCAATTTGCTGGGAGGGCAGGGCCGATTCCGCAGCCTCCTCGTCGAGATCCGCATCCTCGCGAGGAGATCGAGAACGAGAGTCTTCGTCTCGACGACTCGACTGCACTCCACTCCACTCCACTCAACTCCAGTCGACTGGACTCTAGACGTTCGCTCGTCAGCGCTTGAGCCAATAATTATGGTTATTAATCGGCCTGGGAATTGGCTGCTAATTTGCAGTTTAGTTACAAATTCTGGCCGCCAGCGTGCAATTACCCGCTTAAATTATAGCCTCAAAATAAACAAAACACCGCAACGCCAACGAGATTCGCTGGACGCTGGACGCTGGATGGTCAGTTCACTTTATTTCGAAACAGTTCAGTTCGTTTGGGAAAAGGTCACACCATCAACCACACAGGAAAAAACGTTTTACCTAGAAAAAATTAAAAATAAATATTAATATAAATCTTAAGTTGAGTTTAGTATTACAGTCTGCCAATATTAACTTGCTTTTTCAGTACAAAATCATTTAGAATGCTAAAATAATCACTGTGCAGCCCAGCCACATTTAGCCTCTTGCGTGTTTGCTTATCACGAGTCTTATCGCCGATTAGGCCGGGTCAATACCGCACATCAGCTAATGATGCGGCCAGTTGGGCGCTGCAGGTCCGCCAACTCCTGGAACTCGTAATTAGACGCCAGTTCTGGGGCGTTACTCAATCAAGAGTTGATGGCACATCCCCCTTGCCGTCGAGTGCGACGGCATCATCATCATCATTATCATCGAAGCAACTATCCTGCCGACCGATCGGTGGATCGGTGGATCGGTGGATCGGCGGATCGGAGCAACTACAACATAATTTCCAGACGTCGACGCGTCGCTCTTCCAATTTCGGAGGCGCGCTGGCAACACTTTTGGGCCGCCAAATCAAATCGTGTGCTGTTTATTTAAATAACCATAATTTACCGCACCATCCAGAACCGCTCTTGGCCCGCTTCGCCCCCTTATTTGCTGCTTCTGGGGCTATTTATTAACCCACACACTCGACGCAGCTGAACGGAGTTGAACCGATCTGAACCTAACCGATCCTTGGCTTTATGGCCTGGCACATGATTTTCCCGGCCTGTGAGAACATAAAAATTCAATTTAATATGCTCCCAAGTTTTTGTGGACTCCTCTCCCTCTTTTTCCCCATCTGATTTAGCTGGAAAACGTTTTGTCTTTGGCTTGGCATTCAATGAATTTCTGTTTACTATCGTGGCCCATATGCAATCAAAGCTGGTTATGCCAGACCGTCTTAATTTGTCGTGGGTGTTGGTCTTCATAATAGTAATGGTTGCATCGATTCCAATCTGAACACACCATAAAATCCGATTGGAATCGCCTTACTTACTTTTGCATACTTTTTGGGTTGAAGTGAAATGGATTTCAAAATGTGGATTTCAATTAAATTACCATTTATTATCACAAAAAGAAACTTTAACAAACAACAACAAACTTTCTGCATGACAACAATTCTCACAAAATTTATAAATAATAATATAATGTTTTTAATATTTTTATATCCATTTGTTGTATTTACATATTCAACATGTTTCATGTATCAAAACGATTATATATCGCTTTTGGCCAAGTGCCAGGACATAACGCGCTCAATGCCATTACAAACAATTTATGATCCCACCGTTGGGAACGTCCGAAAGTGGCCAAGTAAATTGGCCCAGTCGATGCGTCCGATAATCTGCGAAGATCTTTTGCCTAAGTGGACCTCTAGTTGGATGGTTGGTGGACTCAGCACGTCAAGTTTAGAAAAATGAGCTTGTTAACGCTCCATGATGAGCCCAGTTAGTGTCTAACCCGGAGCCAGATCGATTCGATTCGATTCGATCCGATCCATACGATCGTTCGCAGATGGAGATGGATGTGAATGTGGGGGCAGGCAGGAAAGATCTCCCTATCCCAACCTATCCGATCTGATCCCATACCATCTTATCCCATCCGATCCGATGCGAGAGTCATCATTAGGGCCCTGTGTAAAATTACAACACGATAACACGTAATCATTAGCGTGGCTCCGGGACGGTGTGAGCAAACAATTTGAGGGGCCACAGAGTCCCAGAGTCGCAGAGTCCCGCAGCCAAAAGCCCAACCAACTTCAATTTGCAGTTTCATTATCAAACGGGCCAAAGAACATAATTTGACTAAGGCCAAACATTTGGCAACAGCAAACGGCGAGATGCCAATTTGCAGTTCTCGACGGACTGCCAGTGGTAGTCCGTCTATCGATCACGTTTCGAACCGAAAGGCACGACCGTGACGACCAAAACTCCAGCACTGCACAGTGGTCACTAATATCTTATACACAATATTATTATAAAGAGGATGTACCTTCTACAAATAATAATAAAAATGTAACAAAAACTAATGCAAATACCAAAATTATTTCTAAATCTATAAAATTTTGTATAAATGTTAAGCATATTTATGATTTTTCTAAAGGTTTTTTCTTGATAATTAGTCTATAATAGTATGTTTTATATGCAGAATATTTTTTTCTACTTTGGTAATTTTAAAACCATAGAACTCTCAAACATTTAATCAGATTTTTGACCACTGTGCGATGCGCCCTCGTCGATAATGCGGCGCTTTGCGGTTGCAGTTGCAAAGTTTGCCCAAGAGTAGGTGGTTGCGGGTGGTGCAGGGGCTGGCTGACAATTTAGAACTTTTATGCAATTAATTGCAACAGTTTTGTGCGAGGAATGTGCCTCGGAGGCTCCACCTCCTCCACTCCCCCGTTGTTGGCCATTCTGAACCGTTGCTGCTGCCGTTCTAACCACTTTTTGGCCGTTAATTTAAAAATTGTGCTCACGTTCTGGCAATTTGCTGACCACCCACATGCAAATCCACCGGCGAACTAACCCCAACCGAGCCACTATATATCTTCGATCCTTCTCGGGGGGATTTTGATTCGACAAGAGCGCGATTCGCAGAAAATTAGCAGCCCGACAGCGAGTGAGCGCAATGCAATTTGCAACGAGCATTTGATTTGATTTGATTCCAGTTCGGTTCAGCTTGGCTTTTGCGGGTTTCCGAGTTTGCATTGGCTCCGCTGTTTGTCTAATTTGACACTTGGGGCAGTTGTGCAACTCGCCTTATAAGTAGGTGGCCAGAACATACCCACCGGTGGATATACTCTATACGTAGTATGTAGTATGTGGGTGCGGGGCTTTGTTAGCTTTCCGTACTCAAAGATTGGCTCTGGCAATGGGTGGTAATGCTGGGTTTTGCCTCGAATTGGCCATCTTGTGTGTATGATTGAATCGACTGGTTGGCGGAATTATGAGTGGCTTGATCTGCGATTGTTTTGCCTCGAGATTGTTGGCTGACAGCTTGTTAGCTTAAATGCCAACTGGATGATTATTTTTAATGAGCAGCTTTATATTAAAGGTAAAAGGTTCTCAAACGTAATAAAGATATACCTTGCTCTGCAAAAGATTGCAATTTATTTGTAATTTAATTAATATAAATTGAGAGGTAATAACTGAAAACGGTTATTGAAAATATTAAGCATTTGCAGTTTCATAATATTCGGATTTATTTGAATATCTGGGAATGCAGAAC